CACACCCAGGTCTGTGGGTGTTTCCTAAAAAAAAAAAAAAAATTAAGGGTTTTTTCTTAAAAAATACAGGTTTGTTTGTTTTTTTTTTTTTTTGTGAAAATAGGACAGGTGATAAGCACTGGTTTTTTTCTCTGAGAAAACAAGTAATAAAGTGGTTTTGTTCCCCAGCTCCGGGGGCGGGGGGGGGGAAACCCCAAAATACCACAAACCAAAAAACCAGGTATTAGGGCTTTTTAATGCTATAAAAACATGAAGGATTAAGGGCTTTTTCCTGTAAAAAAAACCCCAAACAGGTTAAAAAGAGCTTTTTTTTCTTCTTAAATTAAAAAAAAAAACCACCACAAATCAAACAGGAAATATGGACTTTTTTTTTTAATATATAATAAAAACCCCCAAACAAGAGGGAATAATGGCATTTTGTATCATGACCAGGTGAGAAGTATTGTTTTTTTTTAAAAAAAACAAAACCATAGGGAACAATAGGGGTTTTTTTCTTAAAAAAAACTCCCACAAACCTGGGAATAAGATTTTTATGCTCAAAACCAAACAGGTAATATGGACTTTTTGGTGAAAAAAAACCAGGAAATTAGGGCTTCTGCTAGAAAAAAAAAAACCAAAGACATGATAAGAGCTCTTTGATTAAAAAACAAACAAACAAACCCCTAAAAACCCACAAAACCCCCACCCACAAAAAACCAACAAGAAAAAAACAGGTGATAAGGGTTTTTTAATGGAAAATAGAGGTAATACGGGTTTTTTTTGGTAAACCCAGGAAATTTGGGCTTTTTTTTCCCCCTTAAAGAAAATAGGGAATAAGGGCACTTTGGTGAAAAGCAGAGAATAATGAGATTTGGCTGGAAATAAAAACAGGTAATAAGGGCTTTTTTTCTCACAGAAAAAATAAATGAGGTTTTTTTTCTGAAAGAAAAATAGCTAATAAGGGGGTTTTTGCTGGAAAACAAAGAGGTGATAGCAGGGGTTGATGAAAAAAGGAATTTATTTCCTACAAAAAAGGTGATAAGGTCTTTTCCTTGTAAGGAAATAGTGATAAGGGCTTTTTTTCTGAAAAAGAGAAGGTAATAAGGGGTTTTTGGTGAAAAAGGACTGGTAACAGGGGCATCTGAGTGAAAGAAAACAGCTAATAATGACTTTTTGGTAGGAAAAAACCAGAGAGGTGGTAAGGGCTTTTTTTCTGAAAGAAACAGGGAATACAGACTTTTTTTTCCGGGGGAAAAAACCAAACCAGATAAGGGCTTTTTTCCCTGAGGGAAAAAAAACAGATAAAAAAGGAATGAGGGCTTTTTTCTTAAAAAAAAAAACCAAATAAAAGGGCTTTTTCCTTAGGAATGAGGGCTTTTTTCTTAAAAAAAAACCCAAATAAAAGGGCTTTTTTCTTAAAAAAAAAGAAAAAAAGAGAAGCAATGAGGGCTTTTCACCCCCCTAAAAGAAAGCCCTAGGGTATAAGGGCTTTTTTCCCTAGGAAAAAAAACCCCAAACAGGTAATAAGAATTTTTTTTTACCTCGGGAAAAAAAAAACAAAACACCCCAAACGAACAGGGAACAAGTGCTTTTTTCTTTAAAAAATGATGAAGTAAAGGCTTTTTTTCCTGAAAAAAAGCTGATAAGGGCCTTTTGCCAAAAAAAAAAGAAAAGGAGGTGATAAGGACTTTTTGGTGGGGGGAAAACAAAAATCAGGGGATGAGAGATTTTCGCTGAAAAGGCAAAGAGGTAATCTGCATCCAAAAGGGGAAAATGAGGGGGAAAAGGGAAATTTTTTTGAAAAACAGGGAATAAGGACTTTTTGCTGCAGACACCTGCAGTAGAAAGCCCTAAAATAACACCCAAACCTGGGAAATTAGAGGGGTTTTTTGGGGGGAAGGAATGGGGTTGGGTTGTTGCTCACCGCAGAAGAGAGCCAGCCAGGCTGGGAGCCGCCACGTCCTGCCCATCGCTGGAAAAAAAAAGCCAAAAAATATGAAAATGCACCTTTTTTTGCGGGGAAAAAAGCCACGCAGGGACAAGCAGGAGCCCAGAGGGGACCCAGGTGGCTCCAGCATTCCCCTTTTGGCCCAAAATTGTCCCAAAAGACTTTTTCTACCCCATGGAAACCTCTTACAACTCACTTTGGGTTGGGCCTGAATTTTGCTCGACACCCCAATTGTCCCATTGCCACCACATCCAACCCAACAATCCCCAACCCCTTCCTGATGCCACCTCGAAGACCCCATCCCTCCCCCTGTGGCCATCAAACCCTCCCAGCAACCTTCCACAAAGCCTCCCAAGGATGAAATCCCCCCCTAAATTACCAAAACTCAGGTCAAAAAGGGGCCAAACTACTGGGACAACCCTCCCAACCTTCCAGATGTTCTCAGAGCTGCTGGTCGCCCACCATCACTCAACATCTGTTGGGGTTAACACCCAGATTGTTGCACCCAAGGAGGATTTATGGCACGGGTTTCATCAAAACCAACTCAACCTGGGCTTGGGAGAGGGGAAAAATCCCTTTCTTATAGAGTTTTATAGTCAATTAAACCCACCTGGGACTCCTGCCCGGTGGGTGAAGGCATCATCGACACCTTGTTTTGCTCAGATGGGACACACCTGGGGTCACGCCCAAAAGGACGAGGAAAAATGCATGAAAAAAAAAGCAAAGTAAGAGCCCGACCCCGCACCACTTACCGGCAGGCTCCGTTCTGCCTCAGCGTCTCTCGTTGCTCTCCCCGAAGCCCATGGACATGTGAGGATGGACGAAAAAAAAAAAAACTGCAGGGTTGGTCCCAAAATCTCCCTTTTTATAACCAGATGGGGCTTATCAGCGTTTTCCTGAGAATCTCCTCGCAGAGCTCCCTCCGGGATCAGCGGGAGAAAGAATTGGCTCTGAAAAGGGCTAATTCTGGCCCATTCAGCAGAATCTCGTGACAGGGGATGGGGTAGGGGCCGCCGAGTCCTGGCACGGCCCAAGGAGGTCGGGTTGCGAAACTGCCCCCGGGGTTCCTGAGAATTGGAGTTTCTGGGGGATGTGGTGGAGCCAGGACGTGAAAATGTGCAGCTGGTTTCCTTCACCTGCAACGTTTTCCTTGCAAAAAGTCTGCTGAGGATGTTGCGACGGGTGCAGGATCCACAGGGGACATTGTGACGGGTGCAGGATCCACAGGGGACATTGCAATGGGTGCAGGATCCACAGGAGACATTGTGATGGGTGCAGGACCCACAGGGGACGTTGTGATGGGTGCGGGACCCAGAGGGGACGTTGCGATGGGTGCAGGACCCACAGGGGACGTTGCGACGGGTGCGGGACCCACAGGGGACATTGCAATGGGCGCAGGATCTGCAGCGGATGTTGCGACGGGTGCAGGACCCACAGGGGACGTTGCGATGGGTGCAGGACCCACAGGGGATGTTGCGACGGGTGCTCTGGAGGGTGTGTTGCGATGGGTGCAGGATCCACAGGAGACATTGTGATGGGTGTAGGATCCACAGGGGACATTGCAATGGGTGCAGGATCTGCAGTGGATGTTGCGACGGGTGCGGGACCCACAAGGGACGTTACAATGCGTGCAGGATCCACAGGAGACATTGCGATGGGCGTAGGATCTGCAGCGGATATTGCAATGGGTGCAGGATCCACAGGAGACATTGCGATGGGTGCAGGATCCACAGGAGACGTTGTGATGGGTGCAGGATCCACAGGGGACATTGCAATGGGTGCAGGATCCACGGGAGACATTACAATGGGTGCAGGACCCACAGGGGACGTTGTGATGGGTGCGGGACCCAGAGGGGACGTTGC